TGTTAGAACTGAATTATTTTAAATGCTAATAGTAATAAAAGTCTGATTAGTCAATATTATAAACATTATGCATCATAATTGATTTAAAGAAAGATAACTGGAGAGAGCAGGATTATTATACGAATTTTCATTGGTGCTTTTTTATTGTGTGCTCAATACAAATATGCTTCTTAGGCACTTCATAGATTTATAATATATTTAAGCTTGAGTCATTTGTCTGAATTTTCACCAGACTTGGATTTCACCAGTCTGTAGAATGTTGCCAGTTTCCTGTTTTTTAGGTATTCCAGTGGTGGGGTTTTGTTATTTAAATATGCGGAGGTGCCTTTTTTTTTAATACAAAAGTGAATTATAGAATATTCTAAAATAATCTGTGATTGGTGTTTCTAATGGACTATGTTAAATAAAACTGGGTTTATATTTCTAATTCTCCAACCAAGAAGAATTTTTTCTTAAAAAACTTTTTCTTAAAAAAGTGCACTATCTCTTGAGGCTGTTGAAATTTAATACATTAAGACCTCATGAATATTTTACTGTATGTTTTTTTCTGAGTGTTTTATAGATATCAAGTCTATTTGCTTGGCTTTTTCTTTTATTTTATTCAGATTCTTTTCAAGAGGTCTCCTAAATGCTTTATCAATTCATTTTTAGCAGTAATTTTTCAGGGGTACTCACAAGGAAAGTTTGTCATTTCCATTTCTGGCAGCACAGGCAAATGTTGCATGCCTACTTCATGGCTGCTGAGACTGTTATATCCTCTTGGAGACAAGTAGATCAGCTAGAAATACAGATTATGCTTGAAGAATGTGTGTTAGGATGACTGGTAGCACAGTGAATCCAGGCAAAATTTGCTAATGATCTGTGCTTGTGTTGGAGACTACAAGTTCAGCAGCCACTGTTTGTATGTGTAACAGTATTTTTTTTTTAAATGACTTTAGAAGCAAAATGTTGAGAGACACATGACTGGTGTTTCTTGTGAATTAGCATATACAGTGCTTTCAGATACAGAAACCTCTTCTTTAGTGGTTTGGATAAGCATAAGTGCCAAGATTGTCAGTCAGTATGGTGAGCTTTCAAATATTCCAGCATTTTTGAGAGGTGATGAAATCATTATTGTGTCTAAAATCAAGAAATAAGATATAGCCAGGCAAACTCCTGAGTTAACAGCTGTAAGAATTCCCATAATTTAGCTTGCATCAATTTTGCATAGTTTTTGCGGTATGTTTCACATTGCATTTAAATTCTTTTAGAACTGTCTTGATTGTCACTCCATAGGCAGCTAGAAAAATGGCTGTTGCCTTGGGAATATTATTGATAATGATAAAGACTTTCAAAGTAAAAGATACAGAATGAAATATCTGTCTGTCTTATGAATACAATTTAGGAACAATCTTGTTCAAGCTTGACTGATATGCTACTAGACTGATTTATTTACACTTAGGACAAATATTATTTGTTTGTGAATCTCTAACTAAATTATACTAAGTGTATAAATGTGTTGAGAAGCTACACTGTATTAGTAAACCTATCAAATCTGACAACAGACCCTATCTCACGCTCCTCCCAATATATATGTGCCTATACATCTTAACAACAACAATATTGAAATCCTTCTTTAAGATTCTGCCCCTGTCTATGCCTGGTTGACCTTGTCTGTTGATCAGCTAAGCTCTTGAGAAGTGGAGTCCTTCAGCCAAGCATTAAACTGCAATGCTGTGCCTCCTAACAGGGCCTGCCCTCAAACTTCTCTAAGAACCACATTCCTCATGTGTATATTTCGTCACAGAACCAGTGCCCTTTCTACAGCCTGACGATTTGCAGCATGAGATCTCCTGTGCTGGAAGAGCCTCCAGTTTTATTGTCTAGAATTTTAGAATAACAGTAGATGAGTCATTTACCTTGCAGGGAATGTAATTTTGGAGGCTCCTTCTTGTTCGGCAAATGGTATAACCTAAAAATCTTCCTAAAAATTAGCTACTCTAGATGAAGCCTTATGCCAAAGTGAGATTGAATGTATAATTATGTTCACACTCAGATATGCCATGACCCCTGAGGACCTTTAGTGATAGTGTAATGATAGTTTGTATGGACTATAAGTGATGTGGTGTTCAGACTCCTTTGGTTAAAAGAAAGTGCCAATCTCTACCTATTACCTACAAGAGAAAAATAATAATGCATATGTGCAAAATATGAAGCCCAGTCTTTCCCAATTAAAAAGTAAAATTGATGAATTAAGGGTTTTTTTATCTATTTCAATTATAGGAAGACTTTGGATGGTTTAATAATGCCTCTTTCTGTGAGTCTTGACTCACATTGGTTGTCACAGTTACGGCAATGCTTACTGGTCATAGAACGATGGATTACTGGTATCACACTCACGTTGAAGGTTTCCTTTCAGACCTCAAATATGCAGAATACTACACAGAAAGCCATTAGTGAATATTACAACTGTGGCTGTGGAATCATTCTTCAATGTGGGCTGTAGACTAGAATGCTTTCATTTTCAAACATCTTTCAGCTTTTTTTAACACATAAGGGGTGAAACATTTTTCTTATTCCTTCAATTCTCCCTTTGCACCAATAAAAATTGCTGACAAATGCAGCCTTATTTGCAGTTGTTAGGTTTTAGTTGTATAAAATCACCTCAACAGTTTTCCATCAAGTTTTTTTTCATTTAGATGTAGCTTTTATGTACTCTTTCACTAATCACAAAGGCTGCTTTGGATTTGACAGGACTTAGTAGGTCAACAGACCTTGAATGAGAGAAGATAGTTTTATGGTCTACTGAGAAACCAGTTTTACATGGAAATTAAATACAAGAACAAGGGTTGGAAAATGTTAAGGCTATGGTATAAAGTAAAACATACCTGTGTGAGCCAAGGACTGAATACTAGCCACTTTTAATTTCCTGACTTTCCTTAGCTTGTATTTCAGTACTTTTATTTAAATACTCCTTTTGCCTGCATTTTTACAACTTAAATGGACAGATATATTGGCCGGCTTCTCGGCTACTGTATGCTGACACCAGTTAATCACGTTTCTTTGTCTTTTAGTGAAACTCAAGATTCTTATGTTTATATTGTCCTATTTTTCATGATTTGTAGTATAATTAGGAGTGCCTGGCTTGGCTGTTTTTGATGCTTTGTGCATATTGAGTTTCATTGCCCAGTATGTGGGAATGTAGACAGCATTTACCAGCTCATTAACCTCTTTAAATTGGCTGCAGAATGGATGATTTCCTGCCACCATCACAGGTCAGTGGATGCATTGCACTCTAATGGACTCTTTCTAGAATATTTGAGAAACGTTCAGCTACCACAGCATTGATTGATTGATTGGTGTATTTTTCTAATTTACATGTTTTTTGAGGGGGCAAATCCTCATAAGACAGTAGGTTAATGCTGTTGTTATTCTGAAGTCAGGAAAAGCAAATGTTGACTAAGAAAACCTTACTAGGTGATCCTGTTTCTCTGCAAAATAGAAATATTTTATACACATACAGCACATTTTCAGGACACTAAGTACAGTGTATGTTTGGATAAGGTTGAAGTACACATGACTGTGTGGTCTTACTGATGTACTTGACCACTAGTAAGCACCTAACTTAGATCTGTTCTTAGGAATTTAACAAGGTCAAGAAGGGTGGTCTTTGCTTCTCTGTGTTACAAGTAGTACCCTTCACAAAAGCCGTATGTATTTAATTAAAGAAATTAATTAAACTTATTTGCTTGTCAGTGGACTCCGGCAGGGTTGACACCATCATTCTTTCAAATGTTACACTTATCAAGTAATGGAAATTTGGATAGGTTTGGATAGATTTTGCCGTACAACTGAATGTTTTCAGTGAAGTAGAACACATCATGAGAAAGAGGTTAAAAACTAAAACACTTTGTCCAAGCTCTGTAAGATTGTCATGAGCAGGCTTTGTGAGTGTCTTGCTGCTTCATTATAGATGCTTTGGATTAATCATATGGTCTCATCACGGAATGTAACTTAAGATTTCAAAATGCATCAAGAGGAGTCAATATGCATTTCATATTGCAAAAATGAGATAGATGTCATATATTAGATTTTATTCATTAACCTAATAAGTTGTCACAAATAATAAGGGCTTCTGCTATCCAGGATTCTTGTTAAAGGAACATTTCTTTGTTTCACTGAAAACTACAGTACAGATTACAGCCTTGAAGCTAAGTTTTAAATATGCTTTTCAAGGTGCCTCATGGAAAGAAACTTTCTTGTTTTTACTGAGTGTTATTTGCGGAAGTCTGCACTTTATTGTTATTTTGTGGAAATACATATACTGAATATGACACTGAATATGGCTTTTCCTCCTGAAAGCTTTTCCGTAGGTAGCTGCTCATTTTAACAGAAGTGATTACTAAGCTGTTTTTACATAAATGTGAACAGCTTGACACTATGCTGAAATCAAAGTCCCCATTCGTCACAGCACTGACACACCTCTGCTAATGCTGTGGGTATCATAACTGATAAATGGGTACTGAATGTCTGCAGCTTCGGGTTGCAGTCATGATGTTTTCTGCTATTGATGTGTTATCAGAATATTAGATGTGATTCCAAAGAATGTATAATTGGATAAGTTTGGGGTTTTTTTCCTGGCCTTGATATATCTTCATCACAATGTTATGAACTATATTATGTTTTATTTAAGTCTCCATTCTGTTCTTAATTCTGAATGTCACAACCAGGAACATCCAGTTTTCAGTTATTAATACTGAATTTAACTGTTATATCACATACGTTATTATTATTGAAATTAGAATTCTCTGTTGATCTAATGTTGGAACAAGATTGTTTTTTCAGCTTTTGCTTGTATTGGTTGAAGTTGAGTCTTCATGACACTCATTAACCCCCAAATTATATTTTATCTATCAATATAATTTGAAAATCTTGGTCCTTATTTTGTTACTTTATTTTAAATATGCTATATCATATTACAGTTCACCTAATTTTGTTTAATTTCCATTTCTTTAACGCAGGGTTGGGAAGAAACTGTGGATGCTGCAGTTTCTTACTTGTTAAGAACTTGTTTGTCAAAGAGCTCTAAAGAGCAGGCCCTGACTCTCAGCAGCCAGTTGTGCATGCCCAAAGATACCAGCAGACTGAAGAAGAACATCACCCTCTTCTGTGATAGATTGGCCAAAGGTGGTCGCCTTTCATTAAGTACAGATTTGGCCTCTCAGCAAGCTGCTGTCATGCCAGGTAAGCCATGAAGTACATCTTCAGAATTCAAAATACTTATTTGTGTATTAAAACTAAAAATTTTACGCATTTTATTTTACTGGCAGTTTAGTTTTCATTGCTTATGAAAACCAAACACTGTGTTGCTGACCAGTAGAATGGCAGTAGAATGAATATGCTCATTAATGCAGCAAATGAACTCCAGATGGTCATCTTTATCCTCTAAAAGTCTTATCACTTATTTCTTTGCACTTTTCAATTGGATGTATACATGTGTATGTTTCTAATGTGACAGAAAAAGGAGGAGTGAAAAGTCCTGCTTTCTTGATAAAGAAATGATTATGGCTGCATTAGCGGCTTTATGGCATATCTATAGGCCAAATTATGAAGTACTGATAACACCAGAGAAAAAAAATCTGCAGCATTAGAAAGTACTAGTTGGCTGGGTGGTATCTCACAGAAAGCATGAAATTGAAGGTGAAACTAATTTAAGTATGTGTTGAATAGTATTTCTCATATAGAAAAAGAATGTGGGCAAGATTTCACAGTGCACAATGATTTAAATGGATGTCATGGAATTACCATTTTTAAAGGAAATTTTATTCATGTCCTTTTCTATATTCCTACTTTATAATAATATTGGGACCAAAGGCTCACCTTTTCTGCAGAGTCTGAAGTTTAGCATCTTTGCACTATTGCAAGACATTTTCTTCCTACCTTTTTCCTCTAGTGAGACAGATGGTCTCTTAGTAAACATCAGATACTCCTGCTGACTTGGAAACAGGTATTTTTTCCCAGCTTTCTGCTCTGAATTTGGATTGGCTGTTCATTCAGCTTCATACACTCCTAAACCACATAATATCACTATGCCCTTTGACCTCAATGACTTCCTTCCACTACAGCATTCTTCACATCTATAGGGAAAAGTATCTATTGTATGTATACTTCATGCTTAAAAATGGGAGTTTATTATTTTGGCTTCATGGGTATTGTTTTTGATAAAGTTTGGAGTTGTGTTAGGGCAGTATCTTGATTATCAGTACTTTGTTTTCTTACATTACAAAGAATAATTAAATTGCTGTTTAATATAATATAATATGAATGGTCTGTGCAATGTTTCAGCAACTCAGAAGTTCCTGTTCCCTGTTATTGTTATGTGCAGCCCTCCTTTGTGTGTGCTGCTGTAAATGATCTGGTAAAACGACTGCAGACTGTGCAATGGTAGAAATTTTATATATATATATATATATATATATATATATATATAAATATATATATATATAATTTTTTTAGTGTTACACTAGTTCTGTATCTGGAAGCAGATTCATGATCATGTGAGGCTAAAAAAGTGTCATATTCATTTTAAAAATTTTTGTTAGTATTTCTTTGCAAGACTAAAATATGTGTAAAAGGCACTTCTTTTGTTGACCTTTGATTATATAACCATTGTCTTCATTCTTTTAAGAATTCTGAAAAGGTGTAAATAGCTGCAGTTCATCTTTTTCTACCTATGCTAATAAGGTGAATTGATTTAATAAGGAAATTCACTTCTACTAGGAAAAGACTGAAAAATTTGTAAAAATTGTAAACAAATTGGAAGAAATCTTACTCTTGATGAAGTACCTTGGGAAAGGGCCCAATCATGCTCCCAACACTGGGTATACAAAGACTAAAAGATTTAAAACTGCTAAACCCACTGTTTTCTATTACATGAGGCCAAAATAACACCAAGAAGGCATGAGTGACATGTGCAAGAATAATTTTTACTACTGTGGTAGAGGTAGACAGTTATACTGCCTCTCAAATGAAACAAGGAAGGAGTACATTCCAAGGAAAACATAAGGTATTTGACTGTAGGCTGTTAGCCAAGTATTGACGATACTTGGGACCAGAATTACCATTTTACATGATGCATAGTGAAAAATTGAGTACCTGTAAGGAACTGGTTGAGACCTGGTACAGCAGTGTCGCACCCATCATAAACTGTTCTAGCTGTTCTTGAAATGCCCTTTGGCCATAATTAACATTAAAAAGAATTAAAACCTGTAATCCAAATGCAGATTTCAAAATAAATAGTTTTACTTTCAAAATTGCTCTTATGTGTAGCCCTTTTGAATATCAAATCACCTAATTAAGAATCAAAATTATGACCTAATTAGGCTAACACTTCAGAATATCACAAGAAGGTATCATTTAAAGAAATTATAAAACCTAATACAACTTTCTTATTTTCATTTAGAGTTCAGCCTGACATCTTGATAAAAGAGTCTGTATGTTTATGCATTTATTCATTAACTGTTGAGAGAATATCATTTTTGAAAGAGCTCAAAAATAAGAAATTTCATCTTATACTACAGGACAGGCTCATTGACCCTGAAATTAGCTCAGTTGGTTAAAACATGGTGCTAATAACACCAAGGTTGTGGGTTTGATCCCCGCATGGGCCATTCACTTAAGAGTTGGACTCAATGATCCTTGTGGGTCCCTGCCAACTCAGAATATTCTGTGATTAGGGATAAATACTTCTGCCAAATGCTCAGAATAGCGTAGTATTTAAGGAGTTACTCTCCAGCAGGATGAGCTGTATGATTTGCAACTGTGTGTGTCTTTGAACAGGCTGGAGAAAACTTGGAGGGTTTTTTGAGAGTAAAGTTTTTACTGATGCTTTTTAGACGTATTTGTCTTGTCACCTGTTTGGGTTTTCTGTGGCTATCTTTACCTTGGCAAATAGTGTGGTCTGTTAGAAGCAGACCTGCAGGGAGTTGTACTTGAGGGCAGCAACATGACTTGTTATCTGTGTGTTTCAGAACTAGCTCTGTGCCTGTCTGATGTACTTGTTCTCCATTAGCAGCTGGAGTGCTCTAAGCACATTTCTGGGATTCATCTGCCTGGTGAGATTCAGCTAAATGAGATGAATTCATGTGGCCAAGACCATTCCTCAGTGTGAAAACAGTGAGTTAGTGGGGACAATCTAGAAATTTACCTCACTGTTGATTCCAATTAAAAATGCCTGTTCTGTCTACACTAGGAAGAAACTGAAAAAAAAGCCTGATAAAGGGAAACCAGTATACAAAATAACTATATGCTGTTGAGTAAAGAGCTCTTTGATAATGCCTAGAAAATAGAGGAACTACTTCTCTCAGCCCTTAAAGGAGAGAACAGGAGTAGGTAGGGAAGAAAGAGGTAGAACTATACATGGAGAGGAAGAGTGCGAATTGTGTTTGTATCTGAGGATTTATGGCTGAATACTGAATGTTAATGTAGGGGAAAGTTCTTCAGGATGTTTAAACTCTAAGCTAAGCCAGAGATGGTCCCATAATTGTTCAGTAGTGTAGCTTGAGAATTTTGTTCATTGCCACTTTTTCTTAAGCCCATTCTTTTTCTTAATTGTGGAAACCACTTTTTCCATAGCAACCAACTATTAAAAATTTCTTTTAAAGTTGACCCTTCAGGCATTGCAGCACTGTAACAGTAGGCTCAGTTTCTAGAAGTTATATTTAATATGTTCAAGATGGTGTACCCTGAAATCTGGAGAAATTGCCTTAAACCACGTTGAAAAGCTGATGATTATTTTTAAGTGTCCAACTATTTGAAAGATGCCTTCAAAAGTAATTGTCAGTATTTGTAGTTAATCCAAGAGTATATGTTAGAAGTAGGCCATAGTCCCTGCTGGATCTGGTTTTGTTCATTATTTTCTTTATAGGCTTCAGGGATTGCATATGGGCATGAATGTTAAAATTGTGGTTTTGCAACAAGCTTGCAGTAGTTTCAGGCATATTGAAAGAACAATAATGCTGATCTTGATAAATTAGAGGAAGGACTTGAAGTTAGTAAGATGGTTTTCAGTTGAGACAAGTGTCAAGGACTCTAGCAAGTAAGAGTCTGACAAACTAAAATTTGAGAAATAATTCCTTAGGCACTGTTGCCATAGGATAGGCTCAGGGGTGTTATAGCGAACCAGCAACTGAATAGAAGTCAGCAATATGATTGCATTAAAGGTGAATTCCAACTTTGGAATGTAGTCATATGACTTCTAATGAGGAGATATGAATATTTCTTTCTGTTCTTCAAGAGAAAGATTCACAGGGGAACAGAATTCAAGAAAAACCTAGATGAATTGGAGAGAGTTCAGAGAGGAGCACAAAAATTATAAATGATGGAAACAATTTTGCTTTTTGTTTCTTCTGAGGGAAAAATAAGGAGAAGTTTGAGGAGAGACATGATAGTTTTCCGATATGTAAGATGTTTTTATATGGGTGATTAAAAGTTAATCAGAATCATTGGCTAAATATGATTATAACTGTAAGCCACATCAGGCTATATCATGTACTGTGTTGCCTTTGGCAAAGCATAAACAGTGGGATGAGAGGAATGGTGAGGGGCTTAGGGAGTGGTGCCAACCCGAAGTGTGGGTCAGTGCCAGGGAAGTGCTGGGAAAGGTGATGTGGGCCACCCAGGTTGTCATGTATTGAGTTTAATGGTTGTGAGAATTTATAGCATAAATCCTGATGACCTGCAGTTAACTACAGTTAATTCTTTAGTTTTTAATGCTCTTATAATATCTGTGTGTTTTGCAGGATTGCTTTTAAAACCATCATCAGTATTAGTTCTGGCTGCTTGAAGACTTGTTTAGGTGTCAATCTGATTGGAGCTCTGTTGACATTATTGCTTCACTAGTATTTTGGGTATCTCAGCTACTCTGGCTAGAATGTGATTCTGGTTTTCCTGTATGAGTTCCTGATGTGATGTGCAAATGCCACTTGTATCAGTTCAAGGCTTTGTTCAAGCAAGGATTTTTAATTTTGAATTAGGACTTTATTTTTCTTTAAAACCATCCTTTTTCTTCTACTTTCTGTTTTTAACTTGACTTCAGTAATTTCTTTCTCTTTGTTTCATTAGGAGATGTTTGTACTGTGTTCTAAAATGATTTACGTACATAGTTGAATAAAACTGGAGCAGTAGAGAAGCTATTATTTAACCAAAAAGTCATTTACTGGATGGCATCACTGAAATCTGTGGAA